GCCAAATTATACTGCTCTATGCATTTATCAGTACGGTTAACTATCACCACCGACAACATCGTCACTATCAGTACAGTCAACTCCTACTGTAGCACTAGGTCGAACCTTTACCAGTCCCTCCACAGATATACAGTGGGGAGAACAATTATTTGATACACTGCCGATTTTGCAGGTTTTCCTACTTACAAAGCATGTAGAGGTCTGTAATTTTTATCATAGGTACACTTCAACTGTGAGAGACGGAATCTAAAACTAAAATCCAGAAAATCACATTGTATGAATTTTAAGTAATTAATTTGCATTTTATTGCATGACATAAGTATATGATACATCAGAAAAGCAGAACTTAATATTTGGTACAGAAACCTTTGTTTGCAATTACAGAGATCATACGTTTCCTGTAGGTCTTGACCAGGTTTGCACACACTGCAGCAGGGATTTTGGCCCACTCCTCCATACAGACCTTCTCCAGATCCTTCAGGTTTTGGGGCTGTCGTTGGGCAATACAGACTTTCAGCTCCCTCCAAAGATGTTCTATTGGATTCAGGTCTGGAAACTGTCTAGGCCACTCCAGGACCTTGAGATGCTTCTTACGGAGCCACTCCTTAGTTGCCCTGGCTGTGTGTTTCAGGTCGTTGTCATGCTGGAAGACCCAGCCACGACCCATCTTCAATGCTCTTACTGAGGGAAGGAGGTTGTTGGCCAAGATCTCGCGATACATGGCCCCATCCATCCTCCCCTCAATACGGTGCAGTCGTCCTGTCCCCTTTGCAGAAAGGCATCCCCAAAGAATTGTGTTTCCACCTCCATGCTTCACGGTTGGGATGGTGTTCTTGGGGTTGTACTCATCTTTCTTCTTCCTCCAAACACGGCGAGTGGAGTTTAGACCAAAAAGCTCAATTTTTGTCTCATCAGACCACATGACCTTCTCCCATTCCTCCTCTGGATCATCCAGATGGTCATTGGCAAACTTCAGACGGGCCTGGACATGCGCTGGCTTGAGCAGGGGGACCTTGCGTGCGCTGCAGGATTTTAATCCATGACGGCGTAGTGTGTTACTAATGGTTTTCTTTGAGACTGTGGTCCCAGCTCTCTTCAGGTCATTGACCAGGTCCTGCCGTGTAGTTCTGGGCTGATCCCTCACCTTCCTCATGATCATTGATGCCCCACGAGGTGAGATCTTGCATGGAGCCCCAGACCGAGGGTGATTGACCGTCATCTTGAACTTCTTCCATTTTCTAATAATTGCGCCAACAGTTGTTGCCTTCTCACCAAGCTGCTTGCCTATTGTCCTGTAGCCCATCCCAGCCTTGTGCAGGTCTACAATTTTATCCCTGATGTCCTTACACAGCTCTCTGGTCTTGGCCATTGTGGAGAGGTTGGAGTCTGTTTGATTGAGTGTGTGGACAGGTGTCTTTTATACAGGTAACGAGTTCAAACAGGTGCAGTTAATACAGGTAATGAGTGGAGAACAGGAGGGCTTCTTAAAGAAAAACTAACAGGTCTGTGAGAGCCGGAATTCTTACTGGTTGGTAGGTGATCAAATACTTATGTCATGCAATAAAATGCAAATGAATTACTTAAAAATCATACAATGTGATTTTCTGGATTTTTGTTTTAGATTCCGTCTCTCACAGTTGAAGTGTACCTATGATAAAAATTACAGACCTCTACATGCTTTGTAAGTAGGAAAACCTGCAAAATCAGCAGTGTATCAAATACTTGTTCTCCCCACTGTATTACATTTTTTTGACAAATCAAAAATGATTTTCAGAATAAGCCTTTGACTCGCCTCCTGAAGTGCCACTGTACACAGCACAGCCATTGGTTAGGCAGCACAAAAAGGTTTACATCTACAAGAGCAGGGCAGGCCAGGGCTCATGATTGGGAAATCCATTGCGGTGTGTAATGCAGTGTAGCCTAGTTTTATTACAACATCCCAACAGCGCAAAAAACTCTGGAACAAAGTTAGAAATATAACTTTGTGGTAGGGATGGTGCCAGGTTTCCTCCAGACGTGACGCTTGGCATTCAGGCCAAAGAGTTCAATCTTGGTTTCATCAGACCAGAGAATCTTGTTTCTCATGGTCTGCGAGTCCTTTAGGTGCCTTTTGGCAAACTCCAAGCGGGCTGTCTACTGAGGAGTGACTTCCGCCTGGCCACTACCATAAAGGCCTGATTGGTGGAGTGCTGCAGAGATGGTTGTTCTTCTGGAAGGTTCTCCCATCTCCACAGAGGACCTCTATAGCTCTGTCAGAGTGACCATCAGGTTCTTGGTCACCTCCCTGACCAAGGCCCTTCTCCCCCAGGCGGCCAGCTCTAGGAAGAGTCTTGGTGGTTCCAAACTTCTTCCATTTAAGAATGATGGAGGCAACTGTGTTCTTGGGGACCTTCAATGCTGCAGACATTTTTTGGTACCCTTCCCCAGATCTGTGCCTCGACACAATCCTATCTCGGAGCTCTACGGACAATTCCTTTGACCTCATGGTTTGGTAAAAGGGGGCTCCATTGTACTTGGGAGCACTTGTCCTTTCCAAATCCAAAAAGTTTACACTCCGAGTAGTGTCACTCATTCTACAAACAAACAATACATTCATTCAAAAATTCAAGATATGCATATTTTTTTTAAGCATACTTTATTCATAACAAATATCACAATGAAGTTAATCAGTCAAATACTTTTCATGAAACTGTACAACATCAACAGTAAAACAGAATATTCCAATTGAATGCAAGATCCTCTTCATCTCATGGGTAGTCTCAGCCCACTGGGCACAAACTGGTTGAATCAACATTGTTTCCATGTTACTGCCTCAAAAAAAATGGTCTTGCCAAAACACTTCACCTGATGCATGTTTTGTCACGTAAGGCTGGCTGATTTTAAATGTGTAAAGTCTGCAGCCTTCTCGTCATTAGGATAATGTAGGTCATTTACAGGTATGCCAGCCAGTTAACACTCCATCTACTGATCACATTGTTTCCATTGTTTCGCTTAAGCTGTTAGCTTCTCACCTAATCACCTGCTAATATTCAGAATTTGTCACCTCCATTATAGGGCAAGTCTGGTATAGAATGGTGTTTTATTTCACACCGGAAGCAAAAAATAATAATTTATTGTTTTGTAATTAAGATATAGTCCTGAATTAGTCAGTCAGCAGAGAGTTAAAGCGACCGTACAAAAGGGCAGACTGGACCCTGGTTTTATGGACACAAACAATTGGTCGTTTTTCCTGTACAGTGATACATTTGTAGGGGCCCCACCCAAACCTATCGTGTCTAGGGGCCCCACCCAAACCTATATGACCACAGTAAAAGTCTAGCAACACTTCCTATGACTAGCTTTTTGTTCAAACTCATCTGTTTTGTACAGGGAATTATGTACGGTGCAATATGTAGTCCAAAATGAAAAACTGATTGGATTTAGGCTGATAGGCCACTCTTTAAGGGCTGCAGAATGAGAAGTGACGTTCCTCTGGGTGTAAACTTGGACAGTAGACGTGCTCATGCGTAGAATGGACCCCCCTTTTACTGCGACACAACATACAGGGAGTTATGTACGGTGCAACATGTATGTCCAATATGAACATCGTGCAATACAAATGGGTTAATTAACAGTGGGATTAACAAAGTGTTTTCTAAAGTTGATTAATATAATACAAATCATTTTATTATTGTTATTATTATAATTTTTTACCATACTTCATGCTGGCGGAACAGATGTTCTGGTTTTCAGGGGAAATCGAAAGAGAGCCTGTGACTGTGAGATGACTTCCGCTTTAGGACGTTAACAAGGCGACACTCCATCTTAACTCCTCCACATTTACTGGATTGGTTGAACAGTGCAGAAGAGAACCTCCCCCAACAGTATCTAGTTTCAGGCTTTTCTTTTATGCCTGCTAAGTTCGGTTCACCGACGGCTGTCATAGGCAGGTGGCAAGCCCGTCAGGTGTGCCTCATTATCTCAAGCCCATGAGAGGCTGGCTGGCTGTGTGTGTGGTTGGCTGTGTGGGGGTTGCCTGCCTGCCTTCCACACCAGCTGGTGTCAGAAGTTATTGAATGGTGCTCACTGTAGCCTCACTTAATTATCAATAAATTCAGCATGAAAGCCACATAAAGTCAATTAACTATCACCTAGGGGCAGCAGCTTTGTGAGAAAAATGGTGGTTGGCATACTTTTGAGCAGTCGAAACATTGAAACCAACCATGATTGGAGATGGATGATATGATTTGTGCTGTCTGCTTTCATAGCACTCATTCGACACAGTCTGATGGATCATCATGTTTTCTGATTTTTTTTGTCCATTTGACATCAAATCTTAATCTGTTTTTGGTATCTAATATGAGGCCTAGGAGATAAAAGCCAAGTTAAGTTGCCTACTTCCTCCAAAGGACACTTTGTTGTGCTGTATTTTAGGGGAATTAAAATATTTGGATCCATTTTGCACACACCGAATGACCCATGTGTGTTAACATGGCTTTAGAGAGGAGCCAGAGAGGTAGGATACAGCTGCTGAGTGCCTGTACCTGGCTGAACACAACTGGCAGACTCACTGTGATGATCTATGTTGTATAGGCCTACAACTTTCACATGGTGTTTATTGTGTAGGTTCTGTATGTGTAAGCCAAGATAGCCCATGATCCAGAGCTCTGTGTGGGTAGACTTGCAGCCTAACTGTAAATGGAAGAGGAGGAGAAAAAAAAGGCAGTTAGTTAGCCATCCACTCCTCCATTGCTGCCCACTCTTGTACACTCGGTTGTTTCTTGTTAGGTTCAGGTTCAGTAGCTAACTAGTTGTTATTAGTGCAGTCAGTGTATGAGTTAAGGTTTGAGTGTATAGGCTATTTGTGTTCCTGGCTGACAACATTCATTGTCCAACTCAAGATTAGACCATCTTCCTTTGATCTTTCCACAGCTAAGCTGGACCCTTGATGAGGTCGGTATGTGTGTCTGTTGTTCCTCTTGTCAGCATGGTCTGCGTTGCCATGGAGAAGTTGCAGCCACATGGGTGCTGTTGACATGGCAACGACACACATGGGAGCGAGTGATAGACACTGGGGACACGGCATCACAGACAGTACAATCTGACTCTACAAAACCACATTACATGTACATTTGTTGATTGCTAGGCATACAAATACTATTATTTAATGGTACATTTGAAACGAGGTCTAGTTGTGGCCACAACCGGACTAGATTGTGAATGACTGTTGGCAGAATGCATTGCTTGACTACCGTGAGGGTGATGAGCACAATATAATTAGTGAACTGCAGCACCCCAAACGATTTGTTGTCTAGTTTGTTGAGCAGAGGCTGTGTATGTTTTGGTTTTACAAAGCTGTGTCCATCATATCATTCAATAATTCATTCTTGCACAATGCGATCAATTATCAGTTCTAAACATGTATTTTTGTTCTCTATACTGCCTGCAGCATGATCTACACTGAACAAAAATATAAAAGCAACATGCAACAATTTCACTGAGTTAAAGTTCATATAAGGAAATCAGTCAATTGAAATAAATTCATTAGGCCCTAATCTATGGATTTCACATGACTGGGAATACTGATATGCATCTGTTGGTCACAGATACCTGAAAATAAAAAGGTAGGGGCATGGATCAGAGAACCAGTCAGTATCTGGTGTGACCACCATTTGCCTCATGCAGCACGACACATCTCCCTTACATAGAGTTGATCAGGCTGTTGATTGTGTCTTGTGGAATGTTGTCCCACACTTCAATGGCTGTGCGAAGTTGCTGGATATTGGCAGGAACAGGAACACGCTGTCGATCCAGAGCATCCCAAACATGCTCAATGGGTGACGTCTGGTGAGTATGCAGGCCATGGAAGAACTGGGACATTTTCAGCTTCCAGGAATTGTGTACAGATCCTTGCGACATGGGGCTGTGCATTATCATGCTGAAACAAGAGGTGATGACGGTGGATGAATGGCATGCCAATGGACCTCAGGATCTCATCACGGTATTTCTGTGCATTCAAATTGCCATTGATAAAATGCAATTGTGTTCGCTGTCGGTAGCATATGCCTGCCCCATACCATAACCCCACGCCACCATGGGGCACTCTGTTCACAACGTTGACATCAGCAAACCACTCGCCCACATGACGCCATGTCTGCCATCTGCCCGGTACAGTTGAAACTGGGATTGATCTGTGAAGAGCATACTTCTTCAGTGTGCCAGTGGCCATCGAAGGTGAGCATTTGCCCACTGAAGTCGGGTACTACGCCAAACTGCAGTAAGGTCAAGACCCTGGTGAGAATGACGAGCATGCAGATGAACTTCCCCGAGACGGTTTCTGACAGTTTGTGTAGAAGTTATTCGGTTGGGAAAACCCACAGTTTAATCAGCTGTCAGGTTGCTGGATATTGGTTGGTCTCAGATGATCCCGCAGGTGAAGAAGCCAGATGTGGAGGTCATGGGCTGGCGTGGTTACACATGGTCTGCATTTGTGAGGCCGGGGATGTAAACAAATTAGAGAAATAAGCTTTTTGTGCGTATGGAAATTTTCTGGGATCTTTTATTTCAGTTTATGAAACATGGGACCAACACTTTACATGATGCGTTTATATTTTTGTTCAGTGTACATTCTACAGACCCTAGTGTATATTCCCTACAATACTTTTACTGTGGCACCCAGAATCATTTTTGCTCTATAAGCCAACATGTATTCCACCGATCCTAGTCAATCACCAAACATTTCTGTTAAAAAAACAACCTTACATGATGCGTTTATATTTCTGTTCAGTATATTTTGCCTGTGCACACATATGACAGGCAGTTGTTGGTCGGATCACGTCACCGGAGGAGCGCGTGCTAATCCTGCTGTAGAATTCATTGCGGCCAGCAGGTCAAACTAACGACCAAAATGAACAAGTCACTCAGAAATACAAATCATGACTCTCGAGTCAGTAGAAAGAGTAGTTCAAAAAGAACGAATCGTTCGCCAACTGCACATCACTAGTGTCATGTCTTTTGTGTGGGTGACAGAGTAGGTAGTGTGCGGCTCATCTGAGTCAAAAGTGTGTGTGGTTTTGTGACGTCATGATTACCGGAGTAGTTTTCGACGAGGCTGTCATGAAAGCGCTTTGGTAACATTTGTGTAGTGTGGCTGGCACACCCTTACTCTACTCTCCAACAAAGTGTTACTCAGGAGAATTCTCACTCACTCTTACTCTCACCCTCCTCTCTCTAGGAGATGTTGGGGCCCAGGCCCTGTTCTCAGTTCTGCGGCGGCCTGGCTTTGGCACCATGGGGAAGCCTATCAAGCTGCTGGCCAACTGTTTCCAGGTGGATATCCCCAAGATGGACGTCTACCTCTATGAGGTAGACATCAAGCCCGAGAAGTGCCCGCGTCGCGTCAACAGGTATACAGCTGCGCTCGATCAAACCCACAAACCTATCATATCTGTTAGCATGAACATTCTCAAACCAACACAAACTGGCTGCAGATATTTCATGTGATCACATGAACTGTACTCAGCATCACTTTACCAACATTAAAGACCAGGGTTATGGATCAGTTTTGGAGTATTGATATATTTGTCTCTCTGGTGCCCCTATAGGGAGGTGGTGGACTCCATGGTGAAGCACTTCAAGGTGACCATCTTTGGGGACCGAAGGCCAGTCTACGATGGGAAGAGGAGCCTCTACACAGCCAACCCCCTACCAGTCGCCACAGCAGGGGTGAGATGCACATACACACACAATATAACATTTGTAGTGTAATTTACCATGTTGAATGTCAGATGGGTGTGCTGGTGATAAATTGAGTTGCCATAGCTTGAACTCAATTCTCCTCAGGTGGATCTGGACGTCACCCTGCCAGGGGACGGCGGTAAGGATCGCCCCTTCAAAGTGTCCATCAAGTTTGTGTCGCTAGTCAGCTGGCACTTGCTGCACGAGGTCCTGACGGGGCGCACCATGCCTGAGCCCTTGGAGCTGGACAAGCCCATCAGCACCAACCCTGTACACGCTGTCGACGTGGTGCTGCGACACCTGCCCTCCATGAAGTGAGTCACTGCCGCCCTACTGGACAGCAGTGGCATTACAGATTTCAGTTTATCTATGGTCCCAGGGCCTAGGAGTGTTCATGTACTGTAGAACGGCTGTCAGGAGCTCTATGCTGTGGAACAAGCTATTCTGTTGGTTGCGTAGTTTAAGAGTATATGTGTATTTATCCACACTTATAGTCCAGAATATAGTAGTAGTTTATAGTATAGATTCTTTCAAAAACATATATACAACCTAATGAAGCTACAGTGAGGGAAAAAAGTATTTGATCCCCTGCTGATTTTGTACGTTTGCCCACTGACAAAGAAATGATCAGTCTATAATTTTAATGGTAGGTTTATTTGAACAGTGAGAGACAGAATAACAACAAAAAAATCCAGAAAAACGCATGTCAAAAATGTTATAAATTGATTTGCATTTTAATTAGGGAAATAAGTATTTGACCCCTTCTCAATCAGAAAGATTTCTGGCTCCCAGGTGTCTTTTATACAGGTAACGAGCTGAGATTAGGAGCACACTCTTAAAGGGAGTTTATACAGTTACCTGTATAAAAGACACCTGTCCACAGAAGCAATCAATCAATCAGATTCCAAACTCTCCACCATGGCCAAGAACAAAGAGCTCTCCAAAGATGTCAGGGACAATATTGTAGACCTACACAAGGCTGGAATGGGCTACAAGACCATCGCCAAGCAGCTTGGTGAGAAGGTGACAACAGTTGGTGCGATTATTCGCAAATGGAAGAAACACAAAATAACTGTCAATCTCCCTCGGCCTGGGGCTCCATGCAGGATCTCACCTCGTGGAGTTGCAATGATCATGAGGACGGTGAGGAATCAGCCCAGAACTACACGGGAGGATCTTGTCAATGATCTCAAGGCAGCTGGGACCATAGTCACCAAGAAAACAATTGGTAAAACACTACGTCGTGAAGGACTGAAATCCTGCAGCGCCCGCAAGGTCCCCCTGCTCAAGAAAGCATATATACAGGCCCATCTGAAGTTTGCCAATGAACATCTGAATTATTCAGAGGAGAACTGGGTGAAAGTGTTGTGGTCAGATGAGACCAAAATCGAGCTCTTTGGCATCAACTCAACTCGCCATGTTTGGAGGAGGAGGAATGCTGCCTATGACCCCAAGAACACCATCCCCACCGTCAAACATGGAGGTGGAAACATTATGCTTTGGGGGTGTTTTTCTGCTAAGGGGACAGGACAACTTCACCGCAACAAAGGGATGATGGACGGGGCCATGTACTGTCAAATCTTGGGTGAGAACCTCCTTCCCTCAGCCAGGGCATTGAAAATGGGTCGTGGATGGGTATTCCAGCATGACAATGACCCAAAACACACGGCCAAGGCAACAAAGGAGTGGCTCAAGAAGAAGCACATTAAGGTCCTAGAGTGGCCTAGCCAGTCTCCAGACCTTAATCCCATAGAAAATCTGTGGAGGGAGCTGAAGGTTCGAGTTGCCAAATGTCAGGCTCGAAACCTTAATGACTTGGAGAAGATCTGCAAAGAGGAGTGGGACAAAATCCCTCCTGAGATGTGTACAAACCTGGTGGCCAACTACAAGAAACGTCTGACCTCTGTGATTGCCAACAAGGGTTTTTCCACCAAGTACTAAGTCATGTTTTGCAGAGCGGTCAAATACTTATTTCCCTCATTAAAATGCAAATCAATTCATAACATTTTTGACATGCGTTTTTCTGGATTTTGTTGTTGTTATTCTGTCTCTCACTGTTCAAATAAACCTACCATTAAAATTATAGACTGATCATGTCTTAGTCAGTGGGCAAACGTACAAAATCAGCAGGGGATCAAATAATGTTCTGGCTGTGAAAGGTGACCCTCTCTTTCTTCTCCCCAGGTATACCCCAGTGGGGCGCTCCTTCTTCTCCTCCCCAGAGGGTTATGACCACCCCCTGGGCGGGGGCAGGGAGGTGTGGTTCGGCTTCCACCAGTCGGTGCGGCCCGCCATGTGGAAGATGATGCTCAACATTGACGGTGAGGGCCTTTTCCCTTGACTGTAAGGAACATGGACACTAATAAAGTGGACAATAACATATTCTTCACTGGTGGCAGGGACTTGTTTCCTTCCATGTTGTCTGGATGATGATGTAGCAGCTGTGTAGCATCTCAGTCAGTCTGTGTTTAGTTGCATTTTGTTTAGTCAGTCAGGTCTTTGATTGGTCCAAATGATATAGAATGCAGCCTATCCCTAAAATTTGTACTCAGAATTTGGTACATCTGAATTTGGTTGTAAGCTATCAGAATTTGGATCCTTAGCCGCATTCAAGTACCTTATTTTAATTTGACCACTTCTCCTCTATAGTATCGGCCACGGCGTTCTACAAGGCCCAGCCGATGATCCAGTTCATGTGTGAGGTCCTGGACATCCACAACATAGACGAGCAGCCCCGGCCCCTCACCGACTCCCACAGGGTCAAGTTCACCAAAGAGATCAAAGGTATGCAGAGTAACGTCACGACCACCACCCCAGGCACCAGAATGCTAACTAACACTTTAGTGAAACACGCTGCTAGACTCCTTGCATCACTGTTGAAATCACACCCAGTGACGATGGCACCGGAGGAGGTGGCTGCTGTTTTACGGCCACCTAACCAATTGCGCTATTATGTGTGTTTTTTGGCGTTATTTGTAATTTATTCTGTACATAATGTTTCTGCCACCGTTTCATATGACCAAAAATAGCTTCTGGATATCAGGACAGCGATTACTCACCTCATATTGGACGAAGGATATTCTACAAACACCCGACAAGGCCCAAATCCCCGTCATTCGCATGAGAAAAAGACGGAGATATCGTGGACGTAGGTCGGGGTGCCTTGTAAGGATCCGATGGCGAGCGAGTAATCTGCCTCTTCTATCAGTCCTATTAGCCAACGTACAATCATTGGAAAACAAAATGGACGACCTAAGATCAAGGATATCCTACCAACGGGAAAAACTGTAATATCTTATGTTTCACCGAGTCGTGGCTGAACGACGACATGGATAACATACAGCTGGCGGGATATACACTACATCGGCAGGATAGAACGGCTAACTCCGGTAAGACAAGGGGTGGCGGTTTGTGTATATTTGTAAACAACAGCTGGTGCACGAAATCTAATACTAAGGAAGTCTCGAGGTTTTGCTCGCCTGAGGTAGAGTATCTCATGATAAGCTGTAGACCACACTATTTACCAAGAGTTTTCTTCTATATTTTTCGTAGCTGTCCATTTACCACCACAAACCGATGCTGGCACGAAGATTGCACTCAATGAGCTGTATAAGGCCATAAGCAAACAGGAAAACGCTCATCCAGAGGCAGCGCTCCTAGTGGCCGGGGACTTTAATGCAGGGAAACTTAAATCCGTTCTACCTCATTTCTACCAGCATGTTAAACGTGCAACCAGAGGAAAATAAACTCTAGACCACCTTTACTCCACACACAGAGACGTGTACAAAGCTCTCCCTCGCCCTCCATTTGGCAAATCTGACTATAATTCTATCCTCTTGATTCCTGCTTATAAGCAAAAACTAAAGCAGGAAGCACCAGTGACTTGGTTAATAAGGAAGTGGTCAGATGGTCAGATGACGCAGATGCTAAGCCACAGGACTGTTTTACTAGCACAGACTGGAATATGTTCCGGGATTCTTCCGATGGCATTGAAGAGTACACCACATCAATCACCGGCTTCATCAGTAAGTGCATCGATGATGTCGTCCCCACAGTGACCGTACGTACATACCCCAACCAGAAGCCATGGATTACAGGCAACATACGCACTGAGCTAAAGGGTAGAGCTGTTGCTTTCAAGGAGCGGGACTCTAACACGGACGCTTATAAGAAATCCCGATATGCCTTCCGACGAACCACCAAACAGGCAAAGAGTCAATACAGGACTAAGATTGAATCGTACTACACCGGCTCCGACGCTCGTCGGATGTGGCAGGGCTTGCAAACTATTACAGACTACAAAGGGAAGCACAGCTGCGAGCTGCCCAGTGACACAAGCCTACCAGACGAGCTAAATCACTTCTATGCTCGCTTCGAGGCTAGCAACACTGAAGCATGCATGAGAGCATCAGCTGTTCCGGATGACTGTGATCACGCTCTCCGTAGCCGATGTGAGTTAGACTTTTAAGCAGGTCAACATTCACAAGGCCGCAGGGCCAGACGGATTACCAGGACGTTGACTCCAAGCATGCGCTGACCAACTGGCAAGTGTCTTCACTGACATTTTCAACATGTCCCTGACTGAGTCTGTAATACCAACATGTTTCAAGCAGACCACCATAGTCCCCATGCTCAAGAACACTAAGATAACCTGCCTAAATGACTACCGACCCGTAGAACTCACGTCTGTAGCCGTGATGTGCTTTGAAAGGCTGGTCATGGCTCACATCAACACCATTATCCCAGAAACCCTAGACCCACTCCAATTTGCATACCGCCCCAACAGATCCACAGATGATGCAATCTCTATTGCACTCCACACTGCCCTTTCCCACCTGGACAAGAGGAACACCTATGTGAGAATGCTATTCATTGACTACAGCTCAGCGTTCAACACCATAGTGCCCTCAAAGCTTCCTGACGGGCCGCCCCCAGGTGGTAAGGGTAGGTAACAACACATCTGCCATGCTGATCCTCAACACTGGGGCTCCTCAGGGGTGCGTGCTCAGTCCCCTCCTGTACTCCCTGTTCACTCATGACTGCATGGCCAGGCACGACTCCAACACCATCATTAAGTTTGCCGACGACACAACAGTGGTAAACCTGATCACCGACAACGATGAGACAGCCTATAGGGAGGAGGTCAGAGACCTGGCCGTGTGGTGCCAGGATAACAACCTCTCCCTCAACGTGATCAAGACACAGGGGGAATAAAAAAGAGGACTGAGCACGCCCCCATTCTCATCGACGGGGCTGTAGTGGAACTGGTTGAGAGCTTCAAGTTCCTTGGTGTCCACATCACCAACAAGCTATAATGGTCCGAACACCCCAAGACAATCGTGAAGTGGGCACGACAAAGCCTATTCCCCCTCAGTAGACTGAAAAGATTTGGCATGGGTCCTCAGATCCTCAAAAGGTTCTACAGCTGCACCATCGAAAGCATCCTGACTGGTTGCATCACCGCCTGGTATGGCAACTGCTCAGCCTCCGATCGGAAGGCACTACAGAGGGTAGTGCGTACGGCCCAGTACATCACTGGGGCCAAGCTTCCTGCCATCCAGGACTTCTATACCAGGCGGTGTCAGAGGAAGGCCCTAAAAATTGTCAAAGACTCCAGCCACCCTAGTCATAGACTGTTCTCTCTGCTACCACACGGCAAGCGGTACCGGAGTATCAAGTCTAGGTCCAAAAGGCTTCTTAACAGCTTCTACCCCCAAGCCATAAGACTCCTGAACAGCTAATCATGGCTACCCAGACTATTTGCATTGTCCCCCCCACCCCACCCCCTATTTTACGCTGCTGCTACTCTGTTTATTATCTATGCATAGTCACTTTAACTGTACCCACATGTACATATTACCTCGACTAAATGGTGCCCCCGCACATTGACTCTGTACCAGTACCCCCTGTATCTACTGTTATTTTATTTTACTGCTGCTCTTTAATTATTTTTATTTTTTACTTATCAATTTTTTTACTTAACAAATTTTTTCTTGAAACTGCATTGTTGGTTAAGGGTTTGTAAGTAAGCGTTTCATTGTAAGGTCTACACCTGTTGTATTTGGTGCATGTGGCAAATAACATTTGATTTGATAATGTTTTTGTCATTCTAACTTTAAGTTGTAGGGATATTGGTATTGTGTTACTTCACTCACTCATATCCGTGTTGCTGAATCATTTTATGCTGAACAAAAATATAAGTGCAACAACTGAAATAAATTCATTAGGCCCTAATCTATGGATTTCACATGACTGTGCAGGGGCGCAGCCATGGGTGGTTACTACATGATTCCATATGTGTTATTTCTTAGTTTTGATGTCTTCACTATTATTCTACAATGTAAAAATTTAAGAAAAACCCTTGAATGAGTAGGTGTGTCCAAACTTTTGACTGGTACTTTATACTCAACAAAAATATAAACACAACATGTAAAGTGTTTCATGAGCTGAAATAAAAGATCCCAGAAATGTTCCATACGCACAAAAAGCTTATTTCTCTTAAATATTGTGCAGAAATGTGTTTACATCCCTGTTAGTGAGCATTTCTCTTTTGCCAAGATAATCCATCTACCTGACAGGTGTGGCATATCAAGAAGCTGATTAAATACCATGATCATTACACAGGTGCACCTTGTGCTGGGGACAATAAAATGCCACTCGAAAATATGCAGTTTTGTCACACAACACAATGCCACAGATGTCTCATGTTTTGAGGGAGTGTGCAGTTGGCATGCTGACTGCAGGAATGTCCACCAAAGCTGTTGCCAGAGAATTTAATGTTAATTTTTCTACCATAAGCCGCCTCCAACGTCGTTTTAGTGAATTTGGCAGTACGTCCAACCGGCCTCACAACCGCAGACCACTTGTAACCACACCAGCCCAGGACCCCCACATCTGGCTTCTTCACTTGCGAGAACATCTGAGAGCAGCCACCCAAACAGCTGATGAAACTGAGGAGTATTTCTGTCTGTAATAAAGCCTTTTTGTGGGGAAAAATTCTGATTGGATGGGCCTGGCTCCCTGGTGGGTGGGCCTGGCTCCCAAGTGGGTGGGCCTATGCCCTCCCAGGCCCACCCATGGCTGCACCCCTACCCAGTCATGTGAAATCCATAGATTAGGGCCATGATTAATTTTGAATGGATAGTTCTTCTCACACACATGCACCTCCTCCTTGCTTTGCTGTGTCTAGGTCTGAAGGTGGAAGTGACCCACTGCGGGACGATGCGGAGGAAGTACAGAGTGTGTAACGTGACCCGCCGCCCTGCCAGCCACCAGACGTGAGTACCTATACACAGAGAGACAGGGATATGTTGTTTGGCAGCAGGCAGACCAGCAGTTAAGAACGTTGGCCCAGTAACCGAAAGGTCGCTGGTTCGAATCCCCAAGCTGACTAGGTGAAAAATCTGTCTGTGCCCTTAAGCAAGGCACTTAACCCTAATTGCTCCTGTAAGTTGCTCTGGATAAGAGTGTCTGCTAAAATGTCAAATATAACAATTTAGTTTAACTCTGACACAGCCTGGACCGAAGCCTTGAATTGTCTCTAAATTGGACTAATGGGCAGCTTCCTGTACACAGATTTAAGTCTTGGTCTAAAAAGCAAGCTCAATGGAGAATCTCCATTGAAAATGCTTTTTGGTCCAGGACTTCGCTTAATCAGTGTCCCGAGAAACCACCCCTAAGAGTTAAACATGACAATTAGATGAGCACAAAGTCACAAACTCCATGTTTCTCCTCTCCAAACCCCCAGGTTCCCCCTGCAGCTGGAGAATGGTCAGACAGTGGAGCGCACGGTGGCCCAGTACTTCAGAGAGAAGTACAGCCTGCAGCTGAAGTACCCCCACCTCCCCTGCCTCCAGGTGGGCCAGGAGCAGAAACACACCTACCTGCCCCTGGAGGTGAGTACCAATAATATTATTGCCATTGGCTCTTTGTAGAGCCCTGAGTTAGTCTTTCCTGGTCATTCATGTGGTCAGGATAAACTCTGGGCCCTAAGCATAAAACTGTACCAATGCGGCTCTCTCTATTGTATTAAATTACTTTAACTCACATTCCTATGTGTGTCTCCTTGCAGGTGTGCAACATAGTAGCTGGCCAGCGCTGTATTAAAAAACTCACTGATAACCAGACGTCCACCATGATCAAAGCCACGGCCCGCTCTGCCCCAGACAGACAGGAGGAGATCAGCAGGCTGGTGAGTACTGTCTAAAGCGCCCTCCAATGACTGGGAGTTATTACAACTACTGAGTGTCTTTATAATTAATCATACTAATTGATTGCATTGATATAGTGCTTTTCCAGATGCTCAAAGCGCTTACATACTATAGTAAGTGGAAAACCCGCCTCATCCACCACCAAACTAATGATTTCCTGTTTTGCTACTACCCCTCCCTCTGTCCTACCCCTCTATCCTCCTCCTCTCTCATCCCCCCCTCCCCCCCATCCCCCCCTCTCTGTGTCCAGGTGCGTAGTGCGAACTATGAGGTGGACCCGTTCGTCCAGGAGTTCCAGTTCCGCGTGCGTGACGAGATGGCTCAGGTGACGGGCCGTGTGCTGCCAGCCCCCGGGCTGCAGTACGGCGGCAGGGTGAGCTCGGAACAGTTCATGGTACCTACCCTTTAAATCATCCTTCATCCGCATTTCACTGTGCGCGTCTGTGATTTAGCTTCCCCATCTCTCTCTCTCTCTTTCTTGCCCCTGGCTCTTTTACTTTTGTCGCTTTTGACCAACTGTCAACCAATACCACCCTTTCACCCACCTCTGTTTTTCAGTCTCTGAAAATAATGATTACTACTTTTCTTGTGTGAAGGCTATGACGAATGGCATGACAGTGTTTTTAGATACATTAAATGACCATTTCAAAGAATTCTTAAATTTGTTTGAAACAATCAGTCTCTCCCCCTTTCTGTGTGTGTGTGTGTGTGGCAGCCCCAGCAGATGAACCCTGCGGTGTCGTTGCAGAACCGCACGGTGGCCACACCCAGCCACGGCGTGTGGGACATGAGGGGCAAACAGTTCCACACCGGGGTGGAGATCAAGATGTGGGCCATCGCCTGCTTCGCCACGCAGAGGCAGTGTCGCGAGGAGATCCTCAAGTGAGTGCTGTCTGTCTCATACATGCATACATACTGTACATCATACACACACACACACAGAGGTCTCTGTTTCAACAGTTAAATACTCAGCCCAATGCAATAACATTATAATCAATATAAAAATAGTATTATTATCATATCTATGTTATTTCAAATGTATTACACTGAACAAAAATATAAACACAAAATGTAACAATATCAAAGATTTTACTGAGTTATATATATATAGTTCATATAAGGAAATAAATAAATTAGGCCCTAATCTATGGATTTCAAATGACTGGGAATACAGATATGCATTTGTTGGTAACAAATACCTTTTAAAAAAGGTAGGGGCTTGGATCAGAAAACCAGTCAGTATCTGTTGTGACCACCATTTGCCTCATGCAGCGTGACACCTCTCCTTCGCATAGAGTTGATCAGGCTGTTGATTGTGGCCTGTGGAAGGTTGTCCCACTCCTCTTCAATGGCTGTGTGAAGTGGCTGGATATTGGCGGGAACTGGAACACGCTGTCGTACACGTCACCTCATGCTGAAACATGAGGTGATGGCAGCGGATGAATGGCACGTCAATGGGCCTCAGGATCTCGTCACGGTATCTCTGTGCCTTCAAATTGCCAACAATAGAATGCAATTTTGTTCGTTGTCCGTAGCTTATGCCTGCCCATACCTGCACGCAGATGAGCTTCGCTGAGAATTATTCGGTTGTGCAAACCCACAGTTTTATCAGTTGTCCGGGTGGCTGGTCTCAGACGATCCAGCAGGTAAAGAAGCCGGATGTGGAGGTCCTGGGCTGGCGTGTTTACAGGTGGACTGCGGTTGTGAGGCCGGTTGGACGTACTGCCAAATTCTCTAAAACAACGTTGGAGGCAGCTTATGGTAGAGAAATGAACATTAAATTCTCTGGCTACAGCTCTGGAGTACATTCCTGCAGTCAGCATGCCAATTGCAAGCTCAAAAACTTGAGACATCTGTGACATTGTGTTGCACATTTTAGAATGGCCTGTTTAATCAGCTTCTTGATATGCCACACCTGTCAAGTGAATGGATTATCTTGGCGAAGAAGAAATGCTCACTAATAGAGGTGTAAACAAATTTGTGCAAAACATTTGAGAGAAATTAGCTTTTTTGTGCATATGGAAAATGTCAGGGATATTTTATTTCATGCGCATGAAACATGGGACCAACACTTCATGTTGCTTTTATATATTTTTTCAGTATAATATACTTTAGTTGGTTTATGCCACACTTACGTCTCTCTGTGTCCGTCCATATTGTCTCTTTGGATCTCCTCATCTTCTCATCCTCTCTCCTTCCCTCCGTCTCTCCAGGGGTTTCACTGACCAGCTGCGTAAGATCTCTAAGGATGCTGGGATGCCCATCCAGGGCCAGCCATGTTTCTGTAAATACGCCCAGGGATCGGACAGTGTGGAGCCCATGTTCAGGCACCTGAAGAACACCTACACTGGCCTGCAGCTCATCATCGTCATCCTGCCTGGGAAGACCCCTGTCTATGGTACGGTCAAAGACTAGACACTGTTTCATTTTGTTTCACATATGATTTATTTGTGTGTTTACTTTATTTATTAGTATACTACTATTATTATGATATATATATATATACATATACACACACACACACACACAGTGGGGAAAAAAAGTATTTAGTCAGCCACCAATTGTGCAAGTTCTCCCACTTAAAAAGATGAGAGAGGCCTGTCATTTTCATCATAGGTACATGTCAACTATGACAGACAAAATGAGAAAAAAAAATCCAGAAAATCACATTGTAGGATTTTTAATGAATTTATTTGCAAATTATGGTGGAAAATAAGTATTTGGTCACCTACAAACAAGCAAGATTTCTGGCTCTCACAGACCTGTAACTTCTTCTTTAAGAGGCTCCTCTGTCCTCCACTCGTTACCTGTATTAATGGCACCTGTTTGAACTTGTTATCAGTATAAAAGACACCTGTCCACAACCTCAAACAGTCACACTCCAAACTCCACTATGGCCAAGACCAAAGAGCTGTCAAAGGACACCAGAAACAAAATTGTAGACCTGCACCAGGCTGGGAAGACTGAATCTGCAATAGGTAAGCAGCTTGGTTTGAAGAAATCAACTGTGGGAGCAATTATTAGGAAATGGAAGACATACAAGACCACTGATAATCTCCCTCGATCTGGGGCTCCACGCAAGATCTCACCCCGTGGGGTCAAAATGATCACAAGAACGGTGAGCAAAAATCCCAGAACCACACGGGGGGACCTAGTGAATGACCTGCAGAGAGCTGGGACCAAAGTAACAAAGCCTACCATCAGTAACACACTATTCCGCCAGGGACTCAAAACCTGCATTACCAGACGTGTCCCCCTGCTTAAGCCAGTACATGTCCAGGCCCGTCTGAAGTTTGGGAGAATGTCATATGGTCAGATGAAACCAAAATAGAACTTTTTGGTAAAAACTCAACTCGTCGTGTTTGGAGGACAAAGAATGCTGAGTTGCATCCAAAGAACACCATACCTACTGTGAAGCATGGGGGTGGAAACTTCATGCTTTGGGGCTGTTTTTCTGCAAAGGGACCAGGACGACTGATCCGTGTAAAGGAAAGAATGAATGGGGCCATGTATCGTGAGATTTTGAGTGAAAACCTCCTTCCATCAGCAAGGGCATTGAAGATGAAACGTGGCTGGGTCTTTTAGCATGACAATGATCCCAAACACACCTCCCGGGCAACGAAGGAGTGGCTTCGTAAGAAGCATTTCAAGGTCCTGGAGTGGCCTAGCCAGTCTCCAGATCTCAACCCCATAGAAAATCTTTGGAGGGAGTTGAAAGTCCGTGTTGCCCAGCGACAGCCCCAAAACATCACTGCTCTAGAGGAGATCTGCATGGAGGAATGGGCCAAAATACCAGCAACAGTGTGTGAAAACCTTGTGAAGACTTAAAGAAAACGTTTGACCTGTGTCATTGCCAACAAAGGGTATATAACAAAGTATTGAGAAACTTTTGTTATTGACCAAATACTTATTTTCCACCATAATTTGCAAATAAATTCATTAAAAATCCTACAATGTGATTTTCTGGAATTGTTTTCCTCATTTTGTCTGTCATAGTTGACATGTACCTATGATGAAAATTACAGGCCTCTCTCATCTTTTTAAGTGGGAGAACTTGCACAATTGGTGGCTGACTAAATACTTTTCCCCCCCACTGTATATGTGTATATATATATATATATATAGTACCAGTCAAAAGTTTGGACACACCTACTCATTTCAGGGTTTTTCTTTATTTTTACTATTTTCTACATTGTAGAATAATAGTGAAGACATCAAAACTATGAAATAACACATATGGAATCATGTAGTAACCAATAGTGTTAAACAAATCAAAATGTTTTATATTTGAGATTCTTCAAGGTAGCCACCCTTTGCCTTGATGACAGCTTTGCACTCTTGGCATTCTCTCAACCAGCTTCATGAGGTAGTCACCTGGAATGAATTTCATATATATTTTTTATTTTTTTCACCTTTATTAAACCAGGTAAGCCAGTTAAGATTTTTGCAGTTCGTTCCAGTCATTCGCAGCAGAGAACTGGAAGGAATGGTGGCCAAAGGAGGTGTTGGCTTTGGGGATGACCAGTGAGATATAGCTGCTGGAGCGCATACTACGGGTGGGTGTTGCTATGGTGACCAATGAGCTAAGATAAGGCGGGGATTTGCCTAGCAGTGATTTATAGATGGCCTGGAGCCAGTGGGTTTGGAGACAAATATGTAGTGAGGACCAGCCAACAAGAGCGTACAGGTCACAGTGGTGGGTAGTATATGGGGCTTTGGTGACAAAACGGATGGCACTGTGATAGACTACATCCAATTTGCTGAGTAGAGTGTTGCAGGCTATTTGAGAAACCAAGGCTATTTAGTCTGCCAATAAGAATGCTGTGGTTGACAGAGTCGAAAGCCTTGGCCAGGTCGATGAAGACGGCTGCACAGTACTGTCTATTATCGATCGTGGTTATAATATCGTTTAGGACCTTGAGCGTGGCTGAGGTGCACCCATGACCAGCTCGGAAACCGGATTGCATAGCGGAGAAGGTACGGTGTGATTCAAAATGGTCGGTGATCTGTTTGTTAACTTGGCTTTCAAAAACTTTCGAACGGAAGGGCAGGATGGATATAGGTCTGTAACAGTTTGGATCTAGAGTGTCACCCCCTTTGAAAAGGGGGATGACCGCGGCAGCTTTCTAATCTCTGGGGATCTCAGACGTTACGAAAGAGAGGTTGAACAGGCTAGTAATAGGGGATGCGACAATTTCGGCGGCTAATTTTAGAAAGAAAGGGTCCAGATTGTCTAACCCAGATGATTTGTAGGGATCCAATTAACAGGTGTGCCTTGTTAATTTGTGGATAGAGGGTAGTGCGTACGGCCCAGTACATCACTGGGGCCAAGCTTCCTGCCATCCAGGACCTCTATACCAGGCGGTGTCAGAGGAAGGCCCTCAAAATTGTCAAAGACTCCAGCCACCCTAGTCATAGACTGTTCTCTCTGCTACCGCACGGCAAGCGGTACCGGAGTGCCAAGTCTAGGTCCAAAATACTTCTCAACAGCTTCTACCCCCAAGCCATAAGACTCCTAAACAGCTAATCATGGCTACCCGGACTATGCCCCCCCCCCCCCCCCCACACATCTTTTTATGCTGCTGCTACTCTGTTAATTATTTATGCATAGTCACTTTAACTCTACCCACATGTGCATATTACTTCAACTACCTCAACTAGCCGGTGCCCCCGCACATTGACTCTGCACCGGTACCCCCCTGTATATATAGCCTCCCTACTGTTATCTGTTATTTTATTTTACTTCTGCTCTTTTTTTCCTCAACACTTTTTTGTTTTATTCTACTTTTTTATTAAAAATAAATGCACTGTTGGTTAAGGGCTGTAAGTAAGCATTTCACTGTAATGTCTGCACCTGTTGTATTCGGCGCATGTGGCCAATAAAATTTGATTTGATTTGATTTCATGGTCGAATTGCTGCAAAGAAACCACTACTAAAGGACACCAATAAGAAGAAGAGACTTGCTTGGGCCAAGAAACACAAGCAATTTACATTAGACTGCTGTAAATCTGTCCTTTGGTCTGATGAGTCCAAATGTTGAGATTTTTGGTTCCAACCGCCGTGTCTTTGTGAGACGCAGAGTAGGTGAATGGATTATCTCTGCATGTGTGGTTCCCACCATGAAGCATGGAGGAGGAGGTGTGATGGTGTGGGGGTGCTTTGCTGGTGACACTGTCGTTGATTGATTGATTTAGAATTCAAAGCACACTTAACCAGCATGGCTACCACAGCATTCTGCAACAATACACCATCCCATCTGGTTTGCGCTTTGTTGGACTATCCTTTGTTTTTCAACAGGACAATAACCCAAAACACACCTCCAAGCTGTGTAAGGGCTATTTGACCAAGAAGGAGAGTGATGGAGTGTTGCATCAGATGACCTGGCCTCTACAATCACCCGACCTCAACCCAATTGAGATGGTTTGGGATGAGTTGGACCGCAGAGTGAAGGAAAAGCTGCCAACAAGTGCTCAGCATATGTGGGAACTCCTTCAAGTCTGTTGGAAAAGCATTCCTCATGAAGCGGGTTGACAGAATGCCAAGAGTGTGCAAAGCTGTCATCAAGGCAAGGGGTGGCTACTTTGATGAATCTCAAATATAAAATGTATTTTGATTTGTTTAACACTTTTTTTGGGGGGGTTACTACATGATTCCATATGTGTTATTTCATAGTTTTGATGTCTTCACTATTATTCTACAATATAGAAAATAGTAAAAATAAAGAAAAACCCTTGAATGAGTAGGTGTGTCCAAACTTTTAACTGGTACTGTATATGCACTGCATTTGGAAATTATTCAGACCCCTTGACTTTTTACAGATTTTGTTACGTTACAGCCTTCTAAAATTGATTATATTGTCAATCAATCTACACACAATACCCAATAATGACAAAGCAAAAACAGGTTTGTAGAAAATTTTACAAATGTATATAAAAAAATAAAAGGAAATATTACATTTACATAAGTATTCAGACCCTTTACTCAGTACTTTGTTAAAGCACCTTTGGCAGCGATTTCAGTCTTCTTGGGTATGACGCTACAAGCTTGGCAAACCTGTATTTGGGGAGTTTCTCCCAGGTTGGATGGGGAGCGTCGCTGCACAAGTATTTTCAGGTCTCTCCAGAGATGTTTGATCGGGTTCAAGTCCGGGCTCTGGCTGATCCACTCAAGGACATTCAGAGACTTGTCCCGAAGCCACTCCTGCGTTGTCCTGTTAGAAGGTAAACCTTCGCCCCAGTCTGAGGTCCTAACCTGCTCCAGAGCGCTTTTCATCAAGGATCTCTCTGTACTTTGCTCTGTTTATCTTTCCCTCGATCTTGACTAGTCTCCCAGTCCCTGCCACTGAAAAACATCCCCACAGCATGATGCTGCCACCACCACGCTTCACCGTAGGGATGGTGCCAGGTTTCCTACAGACGTGATGCTTGGCATTCAGGCCAAATAGTTAAATATTGGTTTCATTAGATCAGATAATCTTGTTTCTCAAGGTCTGAGAGTCTTTAGGTGGCATTTGGCAAACTCCAAGCGGGCTGTAATGAGCCTTTTACTGAGGAGTGGCTTCCATCTGGCAACTCTACCATAAAGGCCTGATTGGTGAAGTGCTGCAGAGATGGTTGTCCTTCTGCAAGGTTCTCCCATCTCCACAGAGGAACTCTGGAGCTCTGTCAAGAGTGACCATCGGGTTCTTGGTCACCTCCCTGACCAAGGCCCTTCTCCCCCATTTGCTGAGTTTGGCTGGGCGGCCAGCTCTAGGAAGAGTCTTGGTGGTTCCAAACTTCTTCCATTTAAGAATGATGGAGGCTACTGTATTCTTGGGATCCTTCAATGTTGCAGACATTTTTGGTACCCTTCCCCAGATCTGTGCCTCGACACAATCCTGTCTCGGCGCTCTACGGACAATTCCTTCGACCTCATGGCTTGGTTTATGATCTGACAAGCACTGTCAACTGTGGGACCTTAAATAGAAAGGTGTGTGCCTTTCCAAATCATGTCCAATCAATTGAATTTACCACAGGTGGACTCCAAGTTGTAGAAACATCTCAATTTTCAGTCTCATCGCAAAGGGTCTGAATACTTATGTACACAAGGTATGTTTTTTATTTTTAATAATTTTGCCAAAAATCTAAAAACCAGTTTTTGCTTTGTCATTATGGGGTATTGTGTATAGATTGATTAGACATTTTTTTTATTTAATCAATTTTAGAATAAGGTTGTAACGTAACAAAATGTGGAGGGGTCTGAATACTTTCCGAATGCACTGTGTGTGTGTGTGTGTGTGTGTGTGTGTGTATTTATCTTTGTTGTTTCCATAGCCTGAGCATACCATGTACAAGATGTCATTAGGTGTAAGAAGGTTACCGGTTTCCTGTAATATTGCATTGGGTGTAAATAGTTACCTGTGTCCTACAATAAGGCACCAGGTGTAAAATGGTTTCCTTTGTCTCTCCCACAGCTGAGGTGAAGCGGGTTGGAGACACTCTCCTGGGCATGGCCACTCAGTGTGTCCAGGTGAAGAACGTGGTGAAGACGTCCCCCCAGACCCTCTCCAACCTCTGCCTCAAGATCAACGTCAAACTGGGGGGCATCAACAACATCCTGGTGCCACACCAACGGTAAAGCAGAGTGAAAGAGCGGGTGTGTGTGGCCACGGGCAGAAAAGTGTTTTCTATCACCCAAATAGGGGTTAGAAAACACTTATGTGCTATTTAGCAGAAACGCATATATACTTTATGACAAACACACCTATTTGGACTGGATATACACTACCGGTCAAAAGTTTTAGAACACCTACTCATTCAAGGGTTTTACTTTATTTTTTTACTATTTTCTACATTGTAGAATAATAGTGAAGACATCAATACTATTAAATAACACATTTGGAAGCATGTAGTAACCAAGAAAGTGTTAAACAAATCAAAATATATTTTATTTGAGTTTTTCTTCAAATAGCCACAAATAGCCACCCTTTGCCTTGATGACAGCTTTGCACACTCTTGGCATTCTCTCAACCAGCTTCCTGAGGTAGTCACCTGGAATGCATTTCAATTAACAGGTGTGCCTTAAGTTAATTTGTGGAATTTCTTTCCTTCTTAATGCGTTTGAGCCAATCAGTTGTTTTGTGACAAGGTAGGGGGGTATACAGAAGATAGCCCTATTTGGTAAAATACCATATTACGGCAAGAACAGCTTGAATAAGCAAAGAGAAACGACAGTCCATAATTACTTTAAGACATGAAGGTCAGTCAATACGGACAATTTCAAGAACTTTGAACGTTTCTTCAAGTGCAGTCACAAAAACCATAAGCGCTATGATGAAACTGGCTCTCATGAAGACCGCCAGAGGAATGGAAGACCCAGAGTTACCTCTGCTGCAGAGGATAAGTTCATTAGAGTTACCAGCCTCAGAAATTGCAGCCCAAATAAATGCTTCACAGAGTTCAAGTAACAGACACATCTCAACATCAATTGTTCAGAGGAGACTGTGCGAATCAGGCCTTCATGGTCGAATTTCTGAAAAGAAACCACTACCAAAGGACACCAATAAGAAGAGACTTGCTTGGGCCAAGAAACACGACCAATGGGCATTAGACCGGTGGAAATCTGTCCTTTGGTCTGGAATCCAAATTGGAGATTATTGGTTCCAACTGCCGTGTCTTTGTGAGACGCGGTGTAGGTGAACGGATGATCTCCGCATGTGTATTTCCCACCGTAAAGCATGGAGGAAGAGGTGTTATGGTGTGGGGGTGCTTTGCTGGTGACACTGTCTGTGATTACACTTAACCAGCATGTCTACCACAGCATTCTGCAGCGATACACCATCCCAGCTAGTTTGGGCTTAGTGGGACTATCATTTGTTTTTCAACAGGACATTGACCCAACACACCTCCAGGCTGTGTAAGGGCTATTTTACCAAGGAGGAGAGTGATTGAGTGTTGCATCAGATGACCTGGCCTCCACAATCCCCCGACCTCAACCAAATTGAGATGATTTGGGATGAGTCGGACCGCAGAGTGAAAGAAAAGCAGCGAACTCCTTCAAGACTGTTGGAAAAGCATTCCAGGTGAAGATGGTTGAGAGAATGTCAAGAGTGTGCAAAGCTGTCATCAAGGCAAAGGGTGGCTATTTGAAGAATCTCAAATGTAAAATATATTGTGATTTGTTTAACCCTTTTATTGGTTACTACATTATTCCATAGTTTTGATATCTTCACTATTATTCTACAATGTAGAAAATAGTACAAATAAAAACCCTTGAATGAGTAGGTGTTCTAAAACTTTTGACCGGTAGTGTATGTCTGATGTTTGTCTCTCTCGCTCTCTCCCCACCAAGTCCCTCAGTGTTCCAGCAGCCTGTTATCTTCCTGGGGGCCGACGTCACTCACCCTCCAGCCGGAGACGGAAAGAAGCCATCCATCGCCGCGGTCAGTCTCTTCCTGTCACTCTAGTTTCCATTGGGACTTTCCTCTAAAACACTGCCTTGTCTGTCCATCTAGTTGTCATGGGGTCTGATGGATCTAGTACATTGGTAATCTACTAGTTTGTTTTGTTACCCAGACCCCTACAATAGCGTTCTGAAAACATGGTGTCAGAAGTCATTTTTCTGACCATCTCCCCTTCTCTGGCCCTATCCAGGTGGTGGGCAGTATGGACGCCCACCCCAGCAGGTACTGTGCCACCGTGAGGGTCCAGAGACCCAGACAGGAGGTGATCCAGGACCTGGCCTCCATGGTGCGGGAGCTCCTCATCCAGTTCTATAAGTCCACCCGCTACAAACCCACCAGAATAATATTTTACAGGGATGGCGTGTCAGAGGGTCAGTTCAGACAGGTTAGTTCAAATACTTATGTCCCCCTCAATCTCTCATTTAAAGTTGGCAGCCAAGCCAAATGATGTCCCTATGTTGAGAAATACATCTATTACAAATAGCAATGTTCTTCATAGACTATTAGCCTTAAGCTTGAGTCTTAAGCTTTATCATGAGCTATTAGCCATCAACCTTGAATTCTTCACCGCTCGCCACTCTTTGCTGGTGAGTTGACTTCTCTTTGTGTGGCAGGTGCTGTACTATGAGCTGCTGGCCATCAGGGAAGCCTGTATCATGTTGGAGAAGGAGTACCAGCCAGGCATCACCTACATCGTGGTGCAGAAACGCCACCACACACGCCTCTTCTGTGCCGACCGCAACGAGCGGGTAAGTGGTGCTATGGATCTCTCCTTGTACATTAATGATTTACTTTATGTGCTAGGTTTAGATTGGTTGTTGAACTGTTTTTAAATGGGGTGTTGTTTCTTTGGCAGGTTGGACGAAGTGGTAACATTCCTGCAGGCACCACTGTGGACACAGACATCACTCACCCCTATGAGTTTGACTTTTACCTCTGCAGCCACGCAGGAATACAGGTGTGTGTCAAGACTCATTCCAGGGTTGTGTTCAATATGCATAAAATAGGAAAACATTCTAAAACTAAAGTCAGCATTTCTTATTAGACAAGTTCAGGTAGTATCTCCTGCTTATTTCTCTCTAATGTCGATTCTTGCCGTCATTGATACTTTCCCAGAGGTTCGTCGGCCTCTATTGCTTTCCACTACACTTAATTGTCAGTGTTGAATCAATGCTGGTATTCTCTCCATGGAACCTGCATTGTCCCTGTGGTATTACAGACTTGGCCTTCTCCCTACAGGGTACGAGCCGACCATCCCACTACCACGTCCTGTGGGACGACAACTGCTTCACTGCTGACGAGTTCCAGCTGCTCACCTACCAGCTGTGCCACACCTATGTCCGCTGCACCCGCTCGGTCTCCATCCCCGCGCCAGCCTACTACGCCCACCTGGTGGCCTTCCGCGCCCGCTACCACCTGGTGGACAAAGAACATGACAGGTGAGGGGGGAAAGGGATTCATTTCGGTGTGATGAGTATACTTTTCCGTAGGGCTAAAATCATTGTCTTGTGCTGTTTATCAGGTAAAAAGAAACTGGAGGCCGATATCATGTATTGACTATAAAATAATATTCAAGTTCATTCAAGATAAAGGTTCTCTCCCTCTCTTTCTGTCCTTTTCCCTTTCTCATTTCCTCACTTCCTTCTCTTGAACACACGCAGTGCGGAGGGCAGCCACGTCTCGGGGCAGAGTAACGGCCGAGACCCCACGGCCCTCGCCAAGGCTGTTCAGATTCATCACGACACACTGAGGACCATGTATTTCGCCTGAGAGCTTGAATACCCCTCCCAACACTCCACCGTATCAGCCTCTGTGTCCTAGTGGGGGTCTCATATCGGACCCTGGGCTGGCGCAGCTCTGGTCCTGACGAGTGGATGCCAAGCCGCTAAGGATAACAACAACCAGAGAGGAGTACAGCAACGTTATGCAATACGAAACCAGCCAATCCTTTGCTGTGTTTTTAATTAATTATGGATTTTATCTGATACTGCTCCTTGAGCTGTGCTCAACTTTTGCTTTGTCTTACTTTCAAAATGCCAGAGTGTAGAAGACAATACAGGGGAATTGATAAGGATGGTTTCAGTGGGTGTGTGGGGACATAGCAGGTCCAGTGAGGATCAGTCTTGTTCCTCAACCCAGTGATGATATGATGACTTTCCTATCCATGGGGTTCAATCATATAAATTGACGTCTTTTACATGTCTTAGTTAGCTTGTTGTCGTTATATGTGCATTTTCGTATGTTCTGTAGAAGTCTGATTGCTATGGCGATGCCTGTTAGTCGAGAACGCTCGTGAATCACAGCTACGTCCTTTTTCATACGGCAAGCTGCTCGCCCAGTCACTCTACTCTTTAAGCCAATGGTGACTTACTTGCAGTCATTGCGCCTGTCAGAGTTTGTAACACTGCACTCTCTATCAGTATCAAGTTTTTTAAACGTTTTTTTTTTATATAGCCATTGTTTTAGGGATTATCTGTTGAGTACTTATAGAATATCAACCCTGGCCACACCATGGACCTACTCAGAACCTTTACAGAGTTCACTGTGGTAGCTACAGATTTCACTTTATCTTTGTTTTATTCCTCCTCCTGCTATTTGAGATTAATCTTATTTAACATTCATTTTCAGCAATAGAGCACTGTTCGTTTGTTTGTCGACGACCATAGAGGTTTTTCAAATGTTAACTAAGTAACTGATGATGTCACACCTTTTTAGTGCAATAAGTCGTTAATGCAGAAAATGGGTTCTATGGTTAACATACCGATTGGATATTTTTGGGCCATTATGATCGGACATGGGCAGGTGATAATGGATAAAGAATGTAAACTGGGGCAAGGATTGATGCCACAAAATGGTTGTGGGTTATCTGGGGGGTGACCTATGACAAAGTACGTTTTCTTTAGTAAATGGGGTGAATTATGTGCCCGTTTTTAGGTGGAAAGAAGAAGAATTTGAAAGACGTATCTATTTTAGTTGGAGCTCCTCTGAGATCAGTTCGTTAGTTTAATTATATAGTCAAAGAATCTCATCCAGGTGTTACTGTAAGCATGATATGTTGTCTAGGACTGTCTTGGGTTTTTAATGTAAATTATTTTATAATATGTAGACTGATCAATTGAAGGTGGGGGCAGTCAGCTAACGGATCTGTCTCGTTCATTTTAGCCCTCTGGTTGTTGGACTCATTTTGCACTGTTCAAAGTAAGCCTTCATATTTACAAGTTTTATCAAGCCGTTTTGTCACATTTTGTGGGCATTGTCACTCTCCCTTTGCCTTGCTGTGCAGTATCCTCCAGGTGAGGCCTTTGAGTTTTGTCTCGTTCCAGTTGGACCAAACCAATGTGCCTCGTGGGGTTGTGAGGGGGAGGACTGGGGTCATCTGCATGGGGCTTGGAGCATGGGTGGTATGAGCCTTGTCTGACTGGCATACTGTTGATCCCTGCTCTCACTGCCTTTGCAAAAGAAGCGGCAGCGTTGTAGCATGGCCAGCACTCTGCCACGCTCATTGTCCTATAGCTACGTGTTACCAGAACCAAACTAGCTGCTATAACACATTTTATTTCGTTCATATATATTTGTACAAAGACTATAAGAATATGACAATTTACTGCACTTAAAGATGCATGTGTTTCAGGTGAGACACATGCCCTGGTGCTGAGACGTGCAGTGTGTCGAGTGGTGGGGTGGGATAGGCCCCCTCTGTTGTAGTCAGACAATATGAGCTTCATTCAGTGTTTTTAAAGGATCAGGAGTAACATAGAGAGGACTTTCCACCTACGATACAGGGGACATGCTTTAATTCCCAGAGGATCTTTTAGTCATCAATACAGCTCGGCCCCCGGGGTATGTGTGAATTAAGTCCCAGCAAAATGCACACTTTCCTGCAAGATGTCAGACATTACCAGCATTTGATTTTACTTGAAGAACACTGTAGGTATGATCTGATCAACTGCAACTGTGGGCTAATGTGTAGCTGCCCTGCTTGTGTGAATATGTTTTATGTCTGTACAGCAGTAACACAGGAAGGAATTATCTCTACAATGCCACGGAATCGACCTCTAGAGCCCAGTGGGCATCTAGGAGGCGGGGCATTGGGAGCTTATGCTGCCGTTCGTAACCAAGTGGGAGGTGGAAATTTACCAGTTGTGAAGTCGTATATACCAATTGGATGCATTCACGTGCTTTGAACTCATTGAGAAATGCTGGGGGGGGTAATACAGGGGAGACACATGGCAGCCTACAGTACATTCGGAAAGTATTCAGACCCCTTGACTTTTCCACATTTTGTTACATTACAGCCTCATTTTTTGTCGCCCCTCATCAATCTACACACACTACCCCATAATGACAAAGCAAAAACAGGTTTTTAGAATCTTTTGCAAAAGTATAATAAAAAATAAAAAATGAAATACCTTATTTACATACAGTAAGTATTCAGACCCTTTGCTATGAGACTCAAAATTGAGCTCAGGTGCATCCTGTTTCCATTGATCATCCTTGAGATGTTTCTACAACATGATTGGAGTCCACCTGTGGTAAATTCAATTGATTGGACATGATTTGGAAAGGCACACACCTGTCTATATAAGGTCCCACAGTTGACAGTGCATGTCAGAGCAAAAACCAAGCAATGAAGTCGAAGGAAATGTCCGTAGACCTCAGAGACAGGATTGTGTCGAGGCACAGATCTGGGGAAGGGTACCAAAAAATGTCTGCAGCATTGAAGGTCCCCAAGAACATAGTGGCCTCCGTCATTCTAAAATGGAAGAAGTTTGGAACCACCAAGACTCTTCCTAGAGCTGGTCGCCTGTCCAAACTGAGCAATCGGGGGAGAAGGACCTTAGTCAGGGAGGTGACCAAGAACCCGATGGATACTCTGACAGTAGCTCAGCTGGTAGAGCACGGCGCTTTTAAACGCCAAGGTAGTGGGTTCGATCCCCGGGACCACCAATACACAAAAATGTATGCACGCATGACTGTAAGTCGCTTTGGATAAAAGCGTCTGCTAAATGGCATATTATTATTATTATTATTATTACAGAGCTCCAGAGTTCCTCTGTGGAGATGGGAGAACCTTCCAGAAGGACAACCATCTCTGCAGCACTCCACCATTCAGGCCTTTATTGTAGAGTGGCCAGACGGAAGTGACTCCTCAGTAAAAGGCACATGACAGCCCGCTTGGAGTTTGCCAAAAGACACCTAAAGGACTCTCATACCATGAGAAACAAGATTCTCTGGTCGGATGAAACCAAGATTGAACTCTTTGGCCTGAATGCCAAGCATCACGTCTGGAGGAAACCTGGCACCATCCCTACGGTGAAGCGTGGTGGCAGCATCATGCTGTGGGGAGGTTTTTCAGTGGCAGGTACTAGGAGACTAGTCAGGATCGAGGAAAATATTAACAGAGCAAAGTACAGAGAGATCCTTTATGAAAACCTGCTCCAGAGTGCTCAGGACCTCAGACTGTGGCAAAGGTTCACCTTCCAACAGGACAACAACCCTAAGCACACAGCCAAGACAACGCAGGGAACAATTTAATCCATTTTAGAATAAGGCTGTAACGTAACAAAATGTGAAAAGGTCAAGGAGTCTGAATACTTTCCGAAAGTACTGTATTCCCTATATAATGGCAGCCTATTCCCTATATAATGCACTACTTTTGACCAGGGCTCTGGGCAAAAGTAGTGCACCATGTAGGGAATGGGGTGGCCCATAAGGCTCTTGGCAAAAGTAGTGCACTATGTTGGGCATTTGGGAATCAAACCAGGCTCCTCCATGTGATGCCCTCCCCTCTCTAAAAGCTGGACATCAGATGCCTTCTTTCACATTATTCTAAAGCATTTTAAATTCCGAAATGGAGATATTTGTATATTTAAAATATATGTAATAATATTATAATGAACACTTATTTTTGCTAACAGATTCTATAAAAATAGAACAATAATATAATATAGAAGACAATAGTAATATAGTAACTAATAAATAATCCAAATTGAATAATGCACTAGACTGATATGTTTATTTGTTCCACGTTAAAGCAAAGCGTGTCGTACCGAAGTTACATCTGCTGCATTTAAATGACCTACTGTGAGGGGGATTGTTGATTTTTCGGGGCAGGTGTTGTGTAGTGACCGATTGGATGAACCACCCCCTATTTCCCATCACCCTCCTCTCTGTTCATTGAATTAACGATCTCTGGAAATTACCCTAGTTTCCATTCAGTAGATTCCATTAATCTCACAGAGCCTGGTCTTCTAGAACAGGTAGTGAATGTGACCTCCATTTTGAGTGCTGATTTAATTTGAGACATTTGTCTGAATCTCTTAAGTTTTTCGTGGGAAAGGGGTGAAGGTTAATACTTGGACAATAGTCCATAGACCGTGCCTTTTTCTGATGGTGCTGAAAACAAGTAAATCAAAGATATCTTAATTTCAAAACATTGAGGGCAATATGCCCCTCTCTACATAGATACATGACAATACTGTACAACATGTCTGTGTACCACTGACATACAGTATGCCAAGAACACAACAATATGCAGAACCAATCAGTTTTGAGGTGTCAGGACCAAAAAAGCTTGTGGGGATGTTAAGGTGGGCAGGCAATCACATGGCACAACCAAAAATGTTGCATTTAATAACTGGGCACTAGTGGCTATTTTAGACTGCCACCCTCTTCAGGTGGCAAACAGTTTACTGTAATGCATGGGATTTTCACCCCGGTTCCCTTTAATCCTTTAGTAGATGTTCAGTGATGGGGTGTTCTAAAGTGAA